TTGAATAGTATTATTGAAATGTGCTTGAGCTTAGTACGCAAGTAAAAAAATCAATGTTGTTAAAATCGAATCGGACATGTCAGTTCAACTGAAAAATCCGAAAACCATTCCATAGTTTGGTTCGATAGCAGCCTAAAAGCATTACATTCAAAAATCGGTACAAGACCCGATAAAATGGTCGTAACAGAAGCTGGAAGGAAACTGGAAGCTGCTGATTGATGGACTGATGAAGTGCACGTAAGGAATGAAGATACAAATGGGATCAGAAATCAGTCAGATTAGATGTCCACGTGTATAAATTGTAATGGTTGTAATAGTTTGTATAGATGTTAGTTAGTTAGTTACAGTTAGAGAGTAAGTAAGGTAGTTGAATTTTCTTTCTATTTATACTTACTGAACTTGCAATGTAGAAGAACGATTTTCTTCTTTTCTAATATCAGATCTTCATCACTTGTTCTTCAATATGGTATCAGAGCAATACCTGTGTTCTTCGTTTGCTCCTTGAGAATCAATTGAGTTCTTTGTTCCATTTTTCAATTGATTCTTCATCATTCATTATTCGATTGAATTTTCATCATTCGGTTTTCTTTCATCATTTTTTTTCTAATTCGATATGGCAACAAATAATGTTCCAAATCAGAATTTCCCATCCTCAATGAATAATTCACCCGTTGATGATGGATCTAATTCTTTCTATATCCAACACTATGTTGTTGCTTCGAGGGAATGGACCTCGCATTTCCCAACTAAGGCGAGAATTGATGAACCTCTCTCAAGGCCAGCTATCTGTTGGGGTTTCTTTCACTAAACTGAAAATAATTTGGGAAGAACTCAGCAACTATAGACCAATATGCAATTGTGGAAAGTGTGTTTGTGGTGGAAATAAGAAAATTTCAAAGCATTATCAGATAGAGTATGTTATGTCTTTTCTAATGGGATTAAATGATACTTTTGCTCAGGGGACAATTGTTACTTATGGATCCAATACCCTCTATTAACAAAGTATTTTCTCTGGTCTCACAAGAAGAACATCAAAGAAACATAAACATTGGTAGTTCTAGAGTTTGAGACTCTATGGCTTTCTATGCTAAAACTGATCCTAAGAGAGACAAATTAGGACAATTGCATAACAAGTTTCAGAGGAAAGAAAGGCCGGTGTGTTCTTATTGTGGACAGACAGGTCACTCAGTGGATAAATGCTACAAATTGCATGGATATCCTCCTGGTTATAAGATGAGGCAGAAAATCGATGATCAGTCAGGAGAAATGAGAAATCATCAAGGCGTGTTGCAGCGAACCAGGTGGGTTTTGAGTCCAATTCAGAACAATTGCAGTAAGGCATGGGATTTTATGCAATCCTTGAATTCTACTCAATATCAACAACTCATTACTATGTTAAGCAATCATCTGGCTTCTGCAAACATCACCACAGGAACTAATGAACAATCTAATCAGGTTTCAGGTACTTGTTTTTCAATTGTCCTTAATTCATGGATGAACTCAGCTAATTATTGGGTGGTGGATTCTGGTGCAACTAGTCATGTATGTTTCAGTAAATCACCATTCTATGATACGAGACCTATTAAGAATGCATGTGTTACCTTACCAAATCATAAAAGAATTGTCGTAAATTTCATTGGGACTATGAGGCTTGGTCACAATCTGGTGCTTAAGGATGTATTATATGTACCACAATTTAAGTTCAACCTAATGTAAGTCAGCTCATTAACCAAGGACTCCTATGTTGATATTAGATTCTGCACTAACCATTGTGTTATCTAGGATATGTACAACCAGAAGATGATTGGCAAGGGTAAAAGCATAGCTGGTTTATACATAATAACTTCATCTGATTCAACACAGGATGATAGGAGTAAAGTTGAAACTGCTGATGATCTTTGTATTTCCATTTCTATTGCTATAATAAAGTGAGTGCTCATATATGGCACACAGATTAGGCCACTTATCTTTCCAAAAGTTAGCATTCTTAAAGGAACAATTGCTCTTGAAATGTGATAGATATGGAAGCTGTAAGGCAGTTCCCTGTAACATTTGTCCATTAGCAAAGCAAAGAAAACTTTCATTTGTCTCAAGTAATCATTTGTCTGTGAATGCATTTGATTTGATACACACTTTGGGGCCTTATCATGTTCCATCTCATTCTGGATATAAATATTTCCTTACCTTGGTGGATGATTGCATACGATTTACATGGGTATACCTCATGAAAAATAAGTATGATGCGAGCTGCATCATTCCCAGATTTTTAAAGTCGATTGAAACACAATTTCAAAGGGTTATAAAGAAGTTCAAATTGAATAATGCACCAGAATTGAAGTTCAATGATTTCTTTCATTTTAAAGGAGTTATTCATTAGTTCACTTGTGTAGAACGACTAGAACAAAATTCAGTGGTGGAAAGAAAACACCAGCACTCGCTTAATATTGCTAGATCATTATATTTTCAGGCACAAATTCCCATTCAATTTTGGAGTGAATGCATTTTAACTGCTGCATTTCTCATTAATAGGACTCCAGCATCCATTTTACACAACAAATCTCCATTCTCCCTCTTATATAATACTCCAATAGATTACAACCAACTAAAAGTCTTTAGAAGCCTTTGTTTTGCATCCACCCTACTATCCAATCGAACAAAATTCACACCTAGAGCTCGAGCCTGTGTATTTGTAGGATATCCTCTAGGGATTAAAGGATACAAGTTGTATTACATTGTATCAAAACTTTATTCATTTCCAGAGATGTGGTCTTTCATGAAACCATATTTCCATTTCATTCTATTCCTCAGCATTCTGATATAACTGACCCTTTTCCAAATCTTGTGCTACCCATTTCTTCTTCTGAACCATTTCATTCTCATCAACATATACCTATCTTTACTTTACAGCTCATAACTCCTACTGAACATACTGTTTCTGCAGATACCACAAATGAATTGCATTTGAATTCCCTTCATATCACTGATCATTCTAATGCATCAGAGAATCTCAGAAGATAATCTAGATTTTGCAGACCTCCTTCCTACATCAGGGACTTTCATTGTAATCTTCTCACCCATACTCAACAGCATTTCGACAAGATTCCCTATCATTTATCCAAATACATTTCCTATAAATCCTTTTCTACTCCTCATCGAAATTATCTCTTAAATATTTCCTCTAATTTTGAGCTTGAACACTATCATCAGGCAGTGAAATATGATCATTAGAGAGATGCAATGGCTGCTGAATTGGATGCCATGGAGGTAAATAATACATGATCTATTACAAAACTACCTGATGGGAAACATGCAATAGGATGCCGGTGGATTTATAAAATAAAGTTCAGGTCTAATGGGTGCATAGAAAGATACAAAGCACGCTTGGTGGCTAAGGGGTATACTCAACAAGAGGGATTGGACTTCAATGAAACGTTTTCACCAGTGGCCAAACTTGTTACAGTCAAGGTTCTTCTGGCCATAACTTCCATTAATAACTGGGATATCACACAACTTGATATTAACAATGCCTTTCTCAATGGCGACTTGTTTGAAGAGATATATATGGACTTACCATTCGGATATAAAGATTATGCAAGTCCTAAGATTCAGAGGGAGAATCTGGTGTGCAAACTTCATAAGTCAATTTATGATCTTAAGCAAACATCAAGGCAGTGGTTTTCTAAGTTTTCCAATGCTCTTCTTGATCATGGCTTCAAATAATCAAAGGCAGATTACTCTTTGTTTACCAAAGGTTCTAGTAACTCTTTTGTTGCAGTCTTAGTTTATGTTGATGATATCCTCATCACTGGATGTAATGCTCGAGAAATTAATGAATTGAAGACCTTCCTACACAGTCGTTTCAAGCTGAAAGACCTTGGCAAGCTAAAATATTTCCTTGGGCTGGAGATAGCAAGGTTGAAAAAGGGAATTTTTATGTCAGAAAGGCAATATGCTTTGCAACTTCTTGAAGACACTGGTTTTCTGGCTTCTAAACCATCTGCACTACCAATGGATCCTAAGTTGAAACTTAGTTCTTTTGAAGGAGAACTTGTTGCTGATGCTTCGATGTATAGGAGATTAATAGAACGCCTTCTTTATCTCACAATCTCCAAACCTGATACCACGTTTGTGGTCACAAGTTAAGCCAATTTGTGTCACAACCACAACAACCTCATTTGGATGCAGCTCATCACCTCTTGCAATATATCAAGGCATGTCTAGGGCAAATAATCTTATTCTCTGCACAATCTTCATTCCAACTGAGAGCTTTTGCAGATGCTAACTGAGGATCATGTCTTAACACAAGAAAGCCAGTCACCAAGTTTTGTGTCTTCCTTGGATATTCTTTAATTTCTTGGAAAGCCAAGAAACAAACAACAATTTCCAGATCTTCAACTGAGGCTGAATATCGTGCGTTGGCTTCCACTACTAGTGAGATTGTTTGGCTTAATTAATTACTTCACGATTTTCAAATTTACACCAAGGATCCTGCCTTAATATTCTGTGACAATCAGCCAGCAATCCACATTGCTTCTAGTCTTATTTTTCACGAACGTACTAAGCACATAGAGATTGATTGCCATTTTGTTCGAAATAAGGTAATTGATGATTTTGTCAAGTTGTTACCAGTTCGTTCACTTCACCAATTAGCTGACATTTTTACGAAGGCTTTATCGGGTTCTTAGTTATACTATTTATTATCCAAGATGTCTGTGATCAATCCTTACCTTCCATCTTGAGGGGAAGTAATAGAAGTTGGAAGGATACTGGAAGCTGTTGTTGGAAGCTGGTGATTGATGGACTGATAAAGTACACGCAAGGAATGAAGATTCAAATGGGATAAAAAAAATTAGTTAGATTAGCTGTCCACGTGTATAAATTGTAATGGTTGTAATAGTTTGTATACCTGTTAGTTAGTTAGTTAGTTAGTTACAATTAGTTAGGGTGAGTTAGGTAGTTGAATTTTCTTTCTATTTATACATACTAAACTTGCAATGTAGAAGAGCGATTTTCTTCTTTTCTAATATCAGATTTTCATCACTTGTTCTTCAATAGGTCGATTAAACAAGAACCGGTTGCCCGAACACGATTCTACCGATTTTAGCAATTGATTTTTTGAACAAAAAAATAATTTCAAACTCACCTTTTCAATTGTTCTCAAAATATCCATCCAGTGGCCATCCTATATACTCAGGCTTTGTTCACTCAAATACACGTTTCAGTAAAATGTACGTGGAGAGAGAAACACCAACCAGTTAAAAACACCTTGTTTGAGCCATTCATTCTCAACCACACATTTTTCAATAAAATAATATTTTCCATCACATCAATTACTTTTTCTTCCTTTTCAACCACATATTCCCCATCATATCAACAGTAAAAATACATTCTTTTTCCAAAAATGTGCACCAAACGAAGGCAAGATGTGCAAATGAAACAATTTTAATATTTCTTTTGATTTTCAACCACTTCAATCAAATAATATTACACGTAAATAAAAAAATGTTTCCTTTTTTAACTACACTATTTCAAAAATTACTATTTCAATATTATTTCAAAATATATTATTTCAAAATTTTCATTATAATAGAAGCCAAACAAGGACAAAGCAAGAGAGGCGACGAGTATTGTCAAAAGTATTAGGGTTTTGAAATGCATATGGAAATTTATGCTGACCTTCAGTTTGAGGCTACATTATTTCCATTTACATTGTATTTAGTGTTAAATAAGAAATTGAAAATATTAATAAATAATAATTGTCTAAAAATTGGTAATCATTTAAATAAATATACTTATTTTAATTAATGGTTTGACCCGGTTCTACCCTTTGACCCTTTCCCTTTTTTGAGCCGATGATGGTTCGACTTTTAAAACATTGAAAAAAATACAAACAAATGGGTAAATAGTTAGTTTTACGTGGGTAATTTTACCATCCAAAAGAGAAATATTTGACCCAGTTAATGAATAATTTGTACTTGAAAAATCTCAAATTTATTCCATTTTCTAGGGTTGAAGTTAAAAGGCAAATAGGCAGAAATATGATACTTCAAAAAAGCCGACTTGAATTTTTGAGTCACTAGTGTAAATACATAAACGCAAGGACGGAAGCTAAAACCAGTGCTCAAATTTGGTGATGAAAAACTCTACTTCCCACTCCTTTTACCAAGTAAAAGCCCCAAATGAATTAATTCAAATCCAATACAAGTAATTCAGTTTATTCAAATCCAAAACAAATCATAGGATCCTAACATTTCCAACGATTTAACCGATATTGAGATTTGATTAGAGTACTGAGGCAAACATGAAGTAATACAAAAGGCAACTGAAGATCGAGAAAATTATCACAACAGTCATTATCATTTGAATCCAAAATCTGACCTGATGGCAGAGTAGAACCTTATCTGCAATTCATTAGTGAGCAAAACTCTCTAGTCAGAATCTTCATAGACTTCTCCATCATCAGACAGTTCATCAAATGATCTTATATCGAGCTGATAACGAAGAATGCCCCCAATGCCACCAAATCCCCTGCAAAATTGTGACCCCTCTTGTGACTTGTTTGTGACAAATTCAAGTGTACAACCAAATTTCTTGTATTCATTGGCGAACCACTCGAGTAATGGCAATTTCTCCTGAACCTCCAACTCTGCAGAAGTGGTTGCATCCCTAAATTGATTCTGTTCAGACTCTTGCTCCTTATTCAGGTGCTTAATGACAATCTCACCAGAGGCACTATTTTTCAAGACATATCTAGTTATATCTAAATTCTCCCACACAATCAGGGTTTCAACAGCACCCATCTCCAGTGCCTTCAGCGTGTCATCTACACCAAATACATATTTCCCAGTATCCTGACTGATCTCCTCAAAATACTTGCCAATTAAGCGTTTCTCCTGTATGAACTTAACATTTGATAGAATCTCTGCCGACAACTCAATAGCTTGATTGAAACCATTTTCCCCACCATAGGAAACATCAACAACGTTGAGTATCTTGGCCTGTAAGCGGGGATCAAACATATCTGATTGGCTCAATTCGGTCTTGAAGTCAGCAGAACCAGCAAGTATAAGGCCAGAAACATTAGGCTGACTGGTATTGGGATTAATGAAGAATTGTGTGGCTAGTTCCGCAGTCTTTCTCACATAGTTGTGTCGTTTTTCCATCCTCAGACGTGCAAATCGAAGAGCAGATTGTCCTCCTCTACCATGCTTCTTCGGAAGATCTACAGTAAATTTGTGAAGCACCTCTCTTGTATTTCCACTTAACGTGCCAAAAAGAGTGCCATTACCATCCATGACTATAAAGCCAAATTTGTCATCAGATTCCAATAGTTCATTTAAGGCTTCTGTGTGAAACTTATTATCACAAAGGTATAATGATGCATTGATGGGTTTGAAAGGCTCAAAATCAATTGTCACCTTCTTCTCCTTGCCATCTTCAGTAACAATAGTACCAGTGTAAAGAACCAAACCATTTGGAGGAACCTTATTGTAAAGCTTCAGCCTTTGTTGGGCGGAAGTAATAGCCCCAAGCACTGATTGACGATTCACCCTACTTTTGATGTTTGAAGCCGTTCCAAATTCATCACCAAGCATTTTGGTAACCCTAGAGATCTGATCTCGTGGAGGCATTATAAGTGATATCATGCTGGTTCCATTGCCTCTAGCGGATTCCAATGCTTTGATCAATTTCTTGATCTTCCATATCTCAATGTTCTTATCAGATTCGCCATCTGCCATTTTAATGGAAGGCAAAGCAAGAAAAACAAAGCCTGCAAATATTATGATGAAACACATGCATGAAAATTACAATATATTTAGGAAATTGGAATACATGTTATTTCATGCTTGATATTTCATGCTTTGGATTAAAGGAAAATTTTGACATCGCAAATTATCTAACCATCATCAACAAAATATATTCAATGCTCCTGAACTAACCATCAGAGTCAGGCTAATTCTTCAGTTACTAAAGAGGATATTGTAGTCCCCAAGAGTGATTTTTAAAGTATTTAAGGTAGATTACAAACAAGAACGAGGAATTAAAAGAATGTTATGCACAGGACTAGACACGGTTGGATAAAATTATTAGATCATCTAGCTAATTCTGTTAACTAATTCAGTTAATGACTCTATTAGTTAGTTAGTTAGTAATAAAGCTGTCATAGTTAGTCGAGCTGTCATGTAACCATTTTTGGTTAGTCCGTCTATTTACATAGCTGGTATTGTATCACACGAGTTTTCATATATGAAATGAATATCAGTTCTCCTTTTCTGTTTCTTCTGTGTAAACATTGATATGGTATCAGAGCAATTGCTTGATCTGCTGCAATCATTTTCTGCATTCAAACATTGAGTGTTATTTTCTTTTCCTCTTCGTTGTCATGGATACTAAATCGAGATCATCTTCGAGTAAATCCACCTTAGATGAACCTTCGAATCCATATTACTTCATCACTCTTATAGCCCTGGATTGGTACTGGTTTCTCAGCCTCTCACTGGAGAAAATTATACCTCCTAGAGTAGAGCGATGCTGATCGCATTGTAAGTGAAAAACAAGCTCGGTTTTGTCGATGGTTCAATTGAAAAGCCTGAAGGTAATGATCCAGATCTCTCCAGCTCTTGGACTAGAAATAACAATATGGTTATTTCATGGATATTGAATTATGTTTGAAATTTTTGCCAGCATTATATACGTTGAATCGGCACATGAAATATGGCTTGATCTTAAGGAACATTTCCAGCAGAAAAATAAACCTAAAATCTTCCAGCTAAAACGTGAATTGATAAGTTTAGCTCAAGATCAAAATTATGTTAGCATATACTTTACAAAACTGAAAACTATATGGGATGAATTAAGCAATTATAGGCCGGTATGTTCTTGTGGCCAATGCACTTGTGGTGGTGTGAAGAATCTCAGTTCTCATTATCAGATGGAATACGTGATGTCCTTTCTTATGGAATTAAATGATTCTTATTCACAAGTTTGAGCACAATTACTTCTCCTGGAGCCATTACCATCAATAAATAAAGTATTTGCTTTAATCTCTCAAGAAAAACATCAGAGGAAGATCACTAGCCAAGTTGGTTGTAATTCAGATCCGGTTGGAGGTATGGTGTTTGCTGTTAAATCAAATCTTGCTAAACGTACTGGAATTCCTAATTCTGGGAACTATAGTAATGCTGATAATCGAAATAACTATAACAATGGAGGTTACAAAGGTCACAAGAAAGAGAGACCTTTTTGCACCGATTGCAACTGCCATGGTCATACGGTTGATAAATGCTATAAGATTCATGGCTACCCTCCTGGTTACAAAGTTAGAAACAGAGATAACTCAGCCTAAAGCCGCAGTAACATTGTTGTTAATCAGGTGTCAAATCAGAATGAACAACAAAATGAAATTGGAAACTTTGTTCAAAATCTCAATTCCAACCAATGCCAACTCATGTCTATGCTATCCAATCATTTGACTTCTTTTGTCAAAACTACTGAAGATCCAACCACTTCTTATACAGCAGGTTTTTGCTTCACAATTTCATTGAGTCCTATCTTTTCTTCTACTCAATATTGGATACATGATTCCGATGCTACAAGGCATATATGTTCATCTGCTGATGCTTTCATTTCTATGAAACCTATTCAAAATTCCAAGGTTATATTACTAAATCATATTCGAATCCCAGTGAACTTTTGTGGTGATATTAGACTGAGAGGGTATTTGGTGGGGATTAAAATTAGATTTTTAATAAATTTTGATAGAAATTTTTGAAATATGTGGTTGAAAAGTTATAGAATCCATAAAAGATGTGGTTAATATTGATTGTTTGACTTTGACTTAGATTAAAATCAGATTTTAACCCAGACCAAACACGGGCTGAGTTCTATGCTTGTTCTCAAGGATGCTCTATATGTTCCTCAATTCAAGTTTATCTTGATATCTATTAGTACACTCACTTGTGGATCAAATCTCACAATCAACTTTCTTCCTGATTGCATCACTATCCAACACCAAGAAGATGATTGGCAAGGGTGATAAGGTTGAAGACCTCTATGTTCTAGATAAAAACAATCTGAATTTATTCACTACAACATATGTAAATACCATTTCAACTCAATATGGCATAACATGCTTGGTCATCCATCTTCCAGACATTTAGATACTTTGAAACACCGTTTGAATTGTCATGTATCAAGATTGAATAAAGCTGATCCTTGTTACATTTGTCCCCTTGCAAAACAAAGACGATTATCTTTTGATTTTCACATCCATATGTCTCAATTTCCATTTGACTTGGTAAATTGTGATGTTTGGGGACCTTATCATGTTCCTTCTCATGCTGGTCACAATTATTTTCTCACCTTGGTGGATGAGTGCACTCGCTTTACATGGATTTATATGTTAAAGCAAAAGTATGATCTAATAAAAGACTCAAGGTTTTCAGATCTGATAATGCACCTGAGCTAAACTTTACTGAATTCTTCAATAGTAGAGGCGTGTTACATCAATTTTCATGTGTTGAGAGACCACAAAAAAATTTAGTTGTAGAAAGGAAACATCAACATCTCCTTAATGTTGCACAAGCACTATACTTTTAATCAAGAGTTCCAATTCAATTTTGGAGTGAATATGTCCTTACTGTAGCCTACCTTATCAATAGAACACCCTCTCCTTTGCTCAAACATAATACTCCTTATGAAATTCTACACAAATATTCAACAGACTAATCTAATTTCAGGATGTTTGGGTGTCTAGCATTTGCATCAACACTTAATGCTCATAGAATAAAATACAAATCAGACGGTACCATTGAAAGACACAAAGCACGCCTAGTTGCTAAAGGCTATACACAACAAGAAGGATTGGACTACAAGACTTTTTCACCTGTAGCGAAACTTGTTACGGTTAAAGTTCTGTTAGCACTTGCTTCAAGTCACATATGGCATTTGGCACAACTTATGTAAACAATGCCTTCCTCCACAGTGATTTATTTGAAGAAGTATATATGGATCTTTCACTTGGTTATAATGTGCACAAGGAATCTCAAACATAGAAAGGGAAATCGATTTGTAAACTTCACAAAACAATATATGGTCTCAAGCAAGCTTTGAGACAATTGTACTCCAAGTTCTCTCAAGCTCTTATTCAGTTTGGCTTTGTTCAATCCAAGTACTCCTTATTTACCAAAGGTTCTGGTGCTTCATTTGTTGCTTTATTAGTCTATGTGGATGACATAATAATTACTTGTCCAAACAATCAAGCAATAAATTCTTTAAAGGCTTTTCTCCACATACAATTCAAACTCAAGGATTTGGGGCATCTTAAGTACTTCCTTGGCCTTGAAATATCAAGGATTTGTATTATCTCAGAGGCATTATGCTCTCCAGCTCCTTGAAGACACGGGATATCTTGCTTGCAAGCCCACATCTGTCCCCATAGATTCTAAAGTCCAGTTAAATGCACGTGAAGGTGAAGTTCTAGCTGACATTTCTCAATATAGACGAATAGTTGGGCATCTACTTTACCTTACTTTATCCTTACCAGTCATCACTTTTGTTGTCCACAAACTCAGCCAATTTTTGGCTCAACCTCATACGCCTCATTTGAAAGCTGTGCATCATCTCCTATACTATATTAAATCCAGTCCTGGACATGGTTTGTTCTTTTCCTCCTTATCCTCTTCACATTTAAAGGCCTTTTCGGATGCTGATTGGGGCTCATGTCCAGACACCAGGAAATCTGTAACTGGTTTCTGCATATTCTTAGGTGATTCCCTAGTATCATGGAAAGCAAATAAGCAAACCACCATTTCTCGTTCCTCAACAGAAGCAGAATACAGAGCATTAGCTTCCACGACTTCTGAACTAGTTTGGTTGCACCAGCTGCTGAAAGATTTTCAAATAGAAGTTTCATCCCCAACCAAACTGCAATTCACATGGCATCCAATCCCATTTTTCATGAGCGAACCAAACATATCGAGATTGATTGTCATTTTATTTGAGACAAAGTTACTGAAGGGTTTATTAAGCTCATGCATACTCAGTTTCAACATCAACTTACAGATGCATTTACCAAAGCTCTTCTCTCTTCTTCATTGTTTCCTCTCTTATCCAAGTTGGCTGTCAAAGATATCCATAGTCCATCTTGAAGGGCGTATTAGATCATCTAGCTAATTTCGTTAACTAATTATGGTAATGATTCTATTAGTTAGTTTGTTTGTTAGTAATAAAGCTATCATAGTTAGTTAGTTAATGTTGAGCTGTCATGTAACTATTTTTGGTTAGTCAGTCTATTTATATAGCTGGTATTGTATCACACGAGTTTTCATATATGAAATGAATATCAGTTCTTCTCTTCTATTTCTTCTTTGCAAACATTGATAAAAATGGTGAAGTGCTACTAGAATTACCTGCAAGTTAACAGGCGACTAAACAACAATTATTAAACCTTTAAATGGTTCATCATTCTTCTCCGGTTCTCCCATTTGAAACGATGAATGCAATTGGTTGTTTAGGGTAAGATTTCACTTAGCTAGAAATTAATGATCGTACTTAATAAGGTTGCCAAATCTTGAGCCCAAAAAGCACAAACAAGAAACTGATTTGTCTAACACTTAAAACAAGCTTCCATATCGCTGGGGAGTGTTAAGAGTAAAAACCCTTGTACTTAAGAAAAACAATAATCAAAATATAAAGGTTTAGATGACTAACCTTAACAAAGTTGACCTTAAGAGACAACCTCAAGGCTGAAATTTATTGTTATGCCAAAAATTGGCTATAGACATGTCAGCAATGATTAACAGAGAGATATCTAAAACATTCAAATCAACTAAGAAAGTTTATAATGGATGTTCTATTACAATTATAAAAATTCTAAAATATTTTTCAACAAATCTTAATTACTCGTATCGAATATGTGAATGTTTTACTCTGTTGGATGAGTATTAATAATTCCAGATTTCAGCTTAAGATTGATGCTTCTTTTCCCACTAGTAATGATGAATAAACTGATTAGCAGAGATGGCCCAAGCATCCAATCTACTAAGTTACCACAAAAAAAAAGCGATTTCCAATCAGATGTCAAGCAACTAAGTTTTGAATGGAAATATAACAAAATTTCGATCGATTTCTAATTACTTTATACATCAAACAGTAACAAATACAAGTAAGTTGGATATAAACCCAATTTTGGTATTTTTCCATATTTTTTTGATTCAGATTTAACTCAGCTGAAACTTAAAGCAAAACAGGGAATAGAAAACAAGTAATTACCTCCAAAGGTATTGATTTGATTTGGAACCAGCACTCGACTAAGGCGGTGGAAGCGTAAGGAAGAAACCCTAATTTTTAGCAGGCTTGTCTTCGTGGAGGTCAGTTTAAATAGGGACAGGGGTACTTTAGGAATTACGTCGTAAGGACGAGGGTTAATTATAGGGAAAATTGCGGCCGCGGTCCCAAACATTTCACTTTATTGTAGATTACATCCAAACCTTTAATTTTTGAGGTCGAAGTCCAAACCTTTATATATAATTGCAGCTTCGGTTCCAAACCTTTTCTGTAATTGCAGCGTCGGTCCCCAATCTTTAATTTTTGAAGTCGAAGTCCCAAATATTTGCATGTAATTGCAGAGTCGATCCCAAACCTTTGTATGTAATTGCAGCGTCCATAAAACCTTTAGTCAACGTTCAAACAATAATTTTGACTCGAAAAATTTGCAGCTCCGATCCCAAATCTTTTATTTTGTTGTAGATTACGCCAAAACCTTTCATTTTTGCAGCCGAAGTCCCATACCTTTATATGTAATTACGCGCGTTGGTCCATTTCACGCATTTCGTCCAAATAACATGTCGTAAAAATAATTTATCGATTCGATTATTATAACAAATCGGATGGAGTCGTTATCTAATCGAATAATTATCGATGATGAGAATGTGATGTCTGTGAAAAAATTAAAGGATTTGAAGAAGATAAATATTTTTTTATAACTTGCTTGACAATTTTGCTCATCAATTAAACCCATGTTTGACACCCATTTTTTTCTCAATATATTTCTCATTCTATTTCACTTTTTTCATTTCAACCACACATTCTATTAATAAAATAATATTACACATAAACCAAAAAATTTTCCTTACTTTTAACCACACAATCTTCCATCAATCACTATTCCAAAAATTATTTTTCAAACAAAATGGGTGTCAAACAGGTTTGAGTCAAAAATATTGTTTTAACGTTGACTGACGATTTTATTGACAGAGTGCGTGAAATAGACCAATACTACAATTACATATAAAGGTTTGGGACTTCAACCGCAAAAATGAAAGGTTTGAGTGTAATCTGTAACAAAAATAAAAGGTTTGAGACCGGAGCTACAAATTTTTTGAGTCAAAATTACTGTTTGAATGTTGACTAACGGTTTTATGGACGGAATTCAAGATTTGGGACTGCGACTGCAATTTTCCCTTAATTATATTACTACTACTACTACGAATTTTATTAACTTCGCCACAATTTTAAGTAATTTTCTTATCTTAAGTAAAATTACTTAGATTGAGTTCCTCTTTACAAAATCTTAATTTTTTCTCCAAGCAATTTTCATCTTCACTTCTCCCACTACCCAATTTTAAGAAATTTAGCAGTTAATAAACAACTTGAAAAATTTAGCAGTGCAAAACTAATTAACTTAATTCAACGGGTGGCAAAGTTTGCATACCTTCCTTCTACACAGTAAGTAGAAGCCAAGTATCAGCATTTCAGAGATTCATGATACGATGAGGATCAACGCCAATTTTATATTTTGAAATTGGGGAGCAAAAATCTTCCATTTTCATCTTCACTTCACTTCTCTTCTCTCTCTCACGCGCGCACAGAGAGTCAATCTAAAAAATCCACATGTTTTATATTTTCTTTTCTTCTTTATTTTTAATTGAGTTAAGGGTATATTTGTAAATTTATCATGGTGTGTTTATTAAAATTTTATTTTAATTGTTGTGTATTTATAATGAGGAGTGGTAAATAAATAATGTAGTGGTAATAATTACCCATATCAGAGCTGGTGGTATAAATGCTAAAGTCTAAACACTTATATTCCCTAAAATTCAATTATACAAGCTTGGAATGTGAATATCAAGCAGAGACAGTGCCCAAGAAAACGATATTTTTTTTAAATATTATTTTAAATTTTTAATTATTTTAAAAAATGGTTAATAATTAAAATAATATATATCAAATATATAAAATTATAAAATATTATATTTATTTAATAATTCCTACCATTAGTCAATTACACAATTTTCAATTTTTCGAAATACAAAAATTAAAATATTTATCATAGTTTTAATTTTGGACTAGACAAGTCCTACTTAATAAATTTATAGGAACTTCATACATGATTTTGAAGTTTGCAATAAAATAATGAGTTTCAAGATCATAATTGTATTATGTAAATAGCATCATACCTTAAATATTATTTGACTATTTAGATAAAATCATTTTTAACTTTTGTATATATAAAATCTTTCAAAAATTTGAAATTAAAGTCAAATGTTTTAAAAATAAATAAATTAATAAACTAAAGTCAAATAAAAAGCTTTTAAAAATATATAAAAAATTAATAAAACGCGTCTAGGAAAGACAAAATAGATAAAGAAAAAAATTAAATTGTTTAGAAATTGAAAAAAAAAAAAGTACCAGGTATGAAACGAGGCATTTTGCCTGAGTTTCGAGTCTACAGTATTAGATGGAGTCTATTTAGACAAATTCCTCGAGAGGGTGTACGATGTCATAAAAAACAATATAATGGATCTATAAGTCTAAATCATTGTTCCTAACTATTATTTAATTCTTAATTTACTATTTCGAACTCTTAATTAATGAAAACATATAATATAATTTTTTGTTTAGTTATCTAAATTATTCTTATTAAATTAAATTTATCCAACGCACACAATTAGAACTTACATTTTCATCTACTGGTTCATTTTAATTTGTTAATCAAGATATGTACCTATTGTAATGTTCGTTTGAATTCTTTTTAATTACTCAATTTACTTCTCTTGAGTTTAAATTGATCATTTTTAACTAAGTCAATTCACTATCTCTCTATATGAATCTGAATAAGCCTTAATTTAATGCATTTAAATATCTAAGAACTCATATAACAACCACAATAATTATAAAATGTATCTCTATACTTTTATTTAAATTATCGAATTTTATTATGCGGTCTAAATCTATAATTTAACTCTCAATTTGTTTATAGATTCACATATCATTGAAATAGCGGTCAGTTAATCCAAAACATTAAAATCCATGCATAAAATTAATTTATAAAAATTTAAACTACTAGAATCTTGAAAATAAAATTAAAAGGCGTACATGTTACATTGTTTGCCCCTAACTATGAATTTAACTACTCATGCTAATTTAAGAAAAAACAACAAAAAGGTATAGAATTCATAACCAAGTGTTGATTTCTTAGTGGAGGAAAAATTGGATCTTGCAATGAGAGTCTCTTCTCCAATCCTAAAAGTTTTCGAACCCTAACTTTTTACTCTTTGATCGTCATGTCTTGTGTTTTTCTCTCTAAAATTGTGTGTTCCATATACTAGTATATATATATATATATATATATCCCGTTTTTACTCTTTTTTTTTTTTT